TTTTTTTGAGGCAGAGTCTCATTTTGTTGCCCTTGATAGAGTGCTGTGGTGTCATAGCTCACAGCAACCTCAAACTCTTGGACTCAAATGATTCTCTTGCCTCAGCCTCCTGAGTAACTGGGACTACAGGCTACTTTTAGAAAAGGGTCTCTGGCTCAGGCTGGTCTTGAACTTGTAAGCTCAGGCAGTCCACCCTCCTCAGCCTCACACACTGCTGGGATGGGACCACCACACCCGGCCTCTTTTTCTCCCTTTTTAAGAGCACAGTTTTAGTCCACTAAGATGAATTTTACTTCTGTCCTTTTCCTCTTAAGTTTGATAACTTAATAAATTAGCACTTAATTGTTTTCTTACATTTACTTTGTCTAGTAGAAGTGATTCTCTTCCTGGAAATAATCTTTTCTTCCATCATAGTGCAGCATCAGTTAGGATTAGTGAACATGAGTATATAGAAAAGGGAATTCAGATCATGTTTATGAAAGGAAGTAGTAAATGGAAATGCTCTGTTCTTTCCCTACCTCAAAGGGTAAGACAGATTGGCTATGTGCCTGTTCCTCTAGACAGGAAATAAGGTATCAACCTTACTGAGATCCTGTTAAATACAGTCCACTATACCTAGTACGATGGGGAAAAAGAACAGATTTTGAGAGAAGTGAAAATTAGCTCCTTTTCATAACTAATTTAACTCAAAATTCAGAAAGAGCTTTCAGATAAAATGACTTGGGAAAATGTATGCAGCACGCTTTATGAATATACAAACTTGTATGTAACAAACCAAATACATGTATAGGACATAGAGTAAAGTAGGAAGTGAGGAATTTATGGTTCACCAAAGGCTAAGAACTAAAATTGCTGAAAAGTTGAGTAGATGCTGTAATATGGAGGTGGAATTCTGAGTGAGATTTAAATACAAATATAAGACATTTCCTTCTCAAATGAACAGTTTTCCATGCCCTGATCATTCTGTGAACTGATAAAAGTTATTTTTCTAAGTCATATCTTAAACATGAGAAAAGATTCCTCTTGGTGATGTTCTTCTTTGTTTAATTGGCGTAATCTTTTTTTTCTTTTGAGACAAGAATCTCACTCTGTTGCCAAAGCTAGAGTTCCATGGCCTCAGCCTAACTCACAGCAACCTCAAACTCCTGGACTCAAGTGGTCCTCCTATCTCAGCCTTCTCAGAAGCTGAGACTATAGGCCCCTGGCATAATGCCCAGCTAGTTTTTCTATTTTTCACAGAGATGGGGATCTCATTCTTGCTCAGGCTGATCTTGAACTCTTCTGAGCTCAAGGGATCCTCCTTCCTTGACCTGCCAGAGTGCTAGGATTACAAGCATGAGCCACTGTACCTTGCCAAAGCAGAGAATTCTTAAGAGTTTTGGGTAAATGTACAGTGTAGAGGAATGAAATATGAAAGCGTTTAATTAATGACAGACCCTCTTGGTTGGGAATTCCTAAGTTGTAAGAATTAAAATGGCTCTACAGATAAATAGGGCCTTTTAAACCAGTAAAGTGAGAATTGGTAACATAGAAAGGCTGTAAAATTGTAATTGGATAAAAACCAAATTGTCTATAGAAATCATTTTGGGGTCTGAGCTTCTAGTAAAATAAGTGATTACAATTACAGTTTCATTAGAATGTAAATTTCATAAAGAGTTAAACAGCAAGGTAATTAAATTAATCTGAATATCAAAAATCATACTGAATTATCTTGTCATTGATATTTTCCTCAAAATTCTAATAAGATAAAATGACTAAAAATGATTAGGTAAAAGAGCTGATTCTAACCTATTGAAAATGATTCATATGATACATCTCATTTGCATCTATTTTCCTAACCTCTAAATCCTTCCATAATAATAGCAAATATAGACCATAAAAATGTTATACCTCGGCTTGGTGCCTGTGGCTCAAGTGGCTAAGGCGCCAGCCACATACACCTAAGGTGGTGGGTTTGAATCCAGCCAGGGCCCGCCAAACAACAA